TTTTTTTTTTTAATCATGATTCACCTTTTTTTTTCCCCTCCAAAGATTTTCTTTATTTATTTGACAGAGCACAAGTAGGCAGAGTAGCAGGCGGAGGGATAGGGAGAAGCAGGCTCTCCGCTGAGCAGGGAGCCCGATGCGGAGCTCAATCCCAAGACCCCGGGATCATGACCTGAGCAGAAGGCAGCTGCTTAACCATCTGAGCCACCTAGCTGCTCCTTCCCTTTAGTTTTAATACTACTTATGAACTTCTTCAGTCTCTTTTTCACTTGATAGTATTAATATAGGTCCGTGTTGCTACATAGCCTTCATTACTAACAGGGTCATATAATATTTTCTATTGATTAGTTCTGTCATTTATCTAATTACATTCAGATTGCTTTTACGTTTTTCTAATAAAAATAATATTGAGATAACCATCTTTTTTCTGTTTGGATTATTTTGAATTTTTCTGTAGAGTAGTTATAAATATTGGAAGAAGAAAGAATGGCAGGGAGGATTTCTTCCAGAAGATTAGAGAACTTAGTTGAAAGTCTGCTAAAGTTGGACTTCTATTTCTAATTGATTTTCACGTACTGAGGGAGGAGGAAGAAAGGGAGAGTATAGATATAATTGGGTAAGCATGATGAACTGAGGTCAGGGTTCTACTTTGTTTTTCTGTATTCTGGCAAGGGTTCATCAGGGTGGAGATGAAAAGTGCCTGTAATCGGGGCTCCTGGATGGCTCAGTTGAGTAAGCAACCAACTCTTGATTTCTGCTCAGGTCATAATCTCAGAGTTGGGAGATCAAGCCCCACATTCAGTTCCAGGCTTAAAGTGGAGCTTGCTTAAGTCTCTCTCTTTCCCCCTCTCCCTTCTACTCCCATGTACACCCATGCATGCTCTATCTCTGAAAATAAGATAAAATAAAATAAATTTTTAAAAAGTGCCTGTAATCTTGATGGTTGAGACAGAGGATTGATAAACACTTCTGATGCACCTGACACTTTTCCTTAGATAAAATAATAAGAATTAATGATAATATACCCTATGATTTTCCATCATAGTTATTTCTACCCCTCAGGTGGCCACAACTACTTAAAAGAGGGATCATTCAAAGAAATACATTATGTAGAAGTTAAAAGTAAAATAGCTATATTATCAGGAATGATCAACAATAAAAAATTCTGAGATTTTAATTTGGGGTAAAATATGCATTAATTACTTCGGTCAAAATACATAAGAGTAAATGCAAAATTGATCTTAAGTTTAACCTTATATTTGCTGATATTTGCATTTATGGTCATTTATAAAAATGTTCTGATGTACTATATTATCCTAACAGGTTACCTATTAAAATAAGTTTACTTTTTTACTATTGGAATAAGTTTTATTTTGGTTAGAGTATTCTTACATAAAAGTAACAAATAGGAATCTCTCATTGACTTCTTGGCTAGAGAAGCATATGAGGCCATAAAACCAGTTACAAGTTGTATATTGTTATTTTTTTCAGTCTCCTTTTTGGATTCTTAGCATTCCCTCAGAAGATATTGCCAGAAACTTAATGAAACGAACAGTGTGTGCCAAGTAAGAGAAACTTATACTGTTTTCCTGCAGATTGTATAACGTACTTCTCATACTACTCTGTCCTTCTTGCCGCTCTGTTGGCGGAGAATTAGGGGTTTGTTGTGGGGAGCTCTCTTTAGCTTGCAGATACATGAATTTGCCACTGGGTGGTGATGGTAGAACAGGGAGTTTTCTGCAGAAACTGATGGTGAGGGAATGTTAGTGGTGAAATGCATGAACACTTGTTTTGGGGTAATTTTTTTAAACTTCTGTATTAAGCAGGAATATAGTTTAAGATGTAAAGGCTTATTTCATAGGTTAAATGCCACATTTAATTATAACCAAAGTATTGAAAATCTAAATATTTTTTCTTATATATGGCTTTTAGTTGGGTGAGCAGATGAGTCTGAAATGACAAAAAGTGAGGACTGCTGTGAAATGTTTTGCTGCTTTATTTGTTAGAGAGCAAAGTCCTGATTATCTTATCTTGTGTGGATTACTATAATGATGTTGTTTATAGTTTATCCTATCTGTTTTCTAGATTTTATCTTTGGTGTCTGATCTTTTTTTCCATTTCTTCCTTCCTTCCCTCCCTCCTTCCTTCCCAATCTTTTAAGTTGAAACTTGCTAATGGGTTTTACTATTCAGTAAAAATGACCAGCAGACAGAAACATAACTAAAAAAAATATCTTCTGAACAATTATTACTTTTGATTAACATATTAAAATTTATGGTTCTAAGAGTTGCTTGATTTCAGTAGATAAGTCTTATTAGGTTTGAAATAGCTGCTTGAGGACCAGGTACTTATATACTTCCTTCAAAGCTTTTATCTTCTCCTGAATTTACTTAATGGTAAAATTAGTAATTATGTAATGATTGTATAATATTATATAATAATTTCCTTGCCTACTTTCTATTCTCTATATATTTTGAATAGCTGAGGTTGGGTATACCTTCAGTGATAGCTAAGTAAGGGTGGTATTACCATAGAGGTCCTCTGTCTATAAATTCAATAGAAAGCAAAGGAGGAGTTCATTTTCAAATGATAAAATTCACAGTCCTAATTGTAGCATTAATTGTTCTGGAAATAAAATAGACTATTATAAGCATGGATTGAAAATTAACTTAAATTTAAGGGTTTTTTTTTGTGGTAGACTAGGGATTGAAAGTTAATTTTGTTTTGTTGATTTATTTTTAACATGGAATATTTTGAGCATATTACAAAAAGGATGAAAAATATAATAAGCACCCAGGTATCTACCTTGTTAGATCTCAAATTTTGAGATACTTGCCACAACTTTCTTAAAAAAAAAAAAAAAAGTGGTTTACAGAAACTGTTGACTCTGTGCACCTTTCCCAATTCTACTCCCCTCCTTCCCTCAAAGGATAGTTTCTTAAATTTTGTCAGAAAGATTTCATTATTACTTCCATAATCACTAAAATATTTGAGATTATTGGGGCACCTGGGTGACTTTAATTGTTAAGCGTCTGCCTTCAACTCAGGTCATGATCCCAGGGTCCTAGGATCGAGCCCTGCATTGGGCTCCCTGCTAGGTGAGACGCCTGCTTTTCCCTCTCCCATTTCCCTCTCGTGTTCCCTCTCTCGCTGTGTTTCTGTCAAATAAATGAAAACTTTTAAAGGAAAATATATTTGGAATTATTGTATTAGTAAGTTGATATCCATGCTTATTTATATACCACCTATCAGAAGTGTGGCAGCCTATATAAGCTTTGTAATCGCTAAAGTATGGATCACAGTAGTTAAGTCATATATATATCAAAACTGTTTACTCTGAAAATCTAAATCATTAAAGGTATTATTATAAATTCGTGTTCCAATTATAGCTGAAGCTTTTGGTGTTATGTGCCTAATCTTTATTTTGACTATTTAAAATACAAATTTATTATATATAAATTCTTTCTAAAAAAGAGGATATGGAGTCATATTTTGTTGATTCTAGGTTATTGTTATAAGCATTAATTTCTACGTTATACGGTATAATAGCTCCTTAAGGGTAATTATAATCCATGAAACTGCCTTTCCCTGAATTGGGTTGGGATTTTTTTTTTTTTTTTTTAAGTTTTTGAGGAGCAGTGTATTATAGTGCATGTAGACATGTGTGTAGTCTAGAGTCTGATGGATTGGAATCCTAGCTTCTTTAATTGCTATATGACCTGAAAGAGTCATCCTTGTCCCTCAGTTTCCTCATGAGTTCAATGGGTGATGATACTGGAAGCTACCTCATAGGCCTCCTATGAGGAACAGTTACAAATCCATATTAAATGGCCTTAGAACAGGCCCTTGTACTTTGAGTTATATTATATGTTAGCTTTTATTATTTTTTATTGTTTTTGTTTTTCAAGGTTTTCCCTTTCCAGAGGTTGAATTACATATGCTTCCCCTCAGTTTATGCTTCCAGAAGTCTTCTACCTTGTGTTTCATGAAGGCAGTGAGCTTTGTTCTGTTGTGTCTTCATGCACAGAACAATTCCTGGTATATAATAATACTTAATAAATATTTGCTGAATAAATGAATTGATTTAGCTTATTATAATCTCTTAACATTAAGAAAAAATCCTGAATACATGGAATTTGGGGACATCTATTCTGAATAATTGTGTTTGCTGCTTTTTACTCCTTGTATGTTTGTATAGCTGAGGTCACCCCTTTAGTGATGGCTAAGTAAGAGAAGGATTACTGTAGAGGCCCTCTTTCAATAAATTCAGTAGAAAGGAAATGAAGTTTATTTTCAAAAGATAATATTCTCCATCCTAATGGCAGCATTAATTACATTTATAAAGTAGTTTATATCTAAATGCACAAAGCTATGCTACTATGTAGATTTGAGTTCCATTACAACGAATTCTTGTTTGTAATGAAATTTGCTTGTAATTGTTTACATGTTCCTTGAAATTGGTGGAAGCATGAAGATTTTTTTTTACAGTAAGAATTTTCTTTTTGTAGTGGTTAGAAAAGTAACTAACAGTTATTAAATATTAGTAAGTAATAGCTAAATATTAATTGTAACATTTTTAACTGGTCATTTTTATTTTATGGAGCAGACACTGCAAAAAATTGGATTTGCTGCAACTTTTCACCTGTTTCACTAAAATAAATGATGTTGCTACATCATTTGTATTCCAGTGTAAAAATATAGTAATGAAAACTTAGAAAAATCTTGACTTAAGTTTCCTTCTTCTGTGTAGAGTTAAACTTCTTTGTGTGATTTGGACTTAATGTTTATTAACATTAAGTTACATTTATTAACTTAATGTTTATTAACACATTTCTGATTTATAGCTTAGAAAATATAGGCAATAATTGTATTAGTGGAACAAGCATAAAGAACGAGGGAAGTAATTATTCCATATTACTGCATGAACTGATTTTGTTACTGAGGTTAATAGTAATCATTTATTTCCTAGGTCCATATTTGAGCTATGGGGTCATGGAAAATCTCCAGAGGAGCTGTATAGTTCTCTTAAAAACTACCCTGTGGAGAAGATGGTACGTAGTGAAATTTTTATATAGGTGTATCTACAGATACTGTAGAATTATGAAGCTTTAAATAAATTATTTGCTTTTATTTTAGGTTCCGTTTCTACATTCAGATTCTACGTATAAAATAAAGATTCACACATTTAATAAAACATTGACACAAGAAGAAAAAGTCAAACGAATAGATGTAAGTGAATTTAGCAATAATGAAAAAAGCCTATGAGAATAATGTGGTCTGTTGCTGTTGATATGTAATAATTCTCAATTCTGTTAAGTGCTTATTTTGTGGCACACTGTGTGCTGATTCTCATGTTTTGTCTTACTTAATGCTGATACAAACTTACAAGATCGGTAGGACTATACAAGCACCATTTCTCCTTTAAAATTCTAATGGGACATGAAAATCACTTTTATTTTTTAGGCACTTGAGTTTCTGCCATTTGAAGGGAAAGTGAATTTAAAGAAGCCACAGCATATATTCTCTGTTTTGGAGGATTATGGTTTGGACCCAAACTGCATCCCTGAGAATCCACATAATATCTATTTTGGTAGATGGGTAAGGATGTGTTCTTTTTACGTATTTGAGGTTGTTTCTTTAAAAGCTTAATGTTAGACCTTTGTATAGGATTCTGTATGTAGAATTTTAAAACAACTGAAGACTCAGAATTACTGTATGAATTAAAATGAATGGAAAATATGTGTTTATGTTGTTTTGTTTGTTTTTCCAGAGATTCCTGGGAAGTGCACGAGGCTTGTTATATATAGGGCCTAGAGATGGTGTACCAGGAAAAAAAAACATGAGACTTGTCAGAAAGTCTGGATTGCTTTTTAAGCAGAGAAAATGTAGTGTGCTGTGGTAACTGAGGGATCTCATTTGTGGAGTTCTCAAATCTAAGCTCAAATTCCGAAAAGAAATAAAATTACTATAGAGCAGTCCTGCTCCCTTCCCTAAGGGTAATGGAAGCTGGGGCTTATGTTACAGATTATTGTTTTTAGGAGAAAAAGAGGTGGGTAAAATTTACTCACTACCAACCCCTGGAATTAATTACATTCAAATTCAATTCAAATTTAGTTCAGAAAGTCACAGTAAATTGCAACATGCTAAAAAATACAAGGTATTTGTCCATAATTACCTCAACCACATTTTTTAAACGAACAAGTTTAGAGCAATGGTAAGTGGAAAGAAGTTTTTATCATTAAGATACTCTGGTTTTATTGTGAATGGTTAATTTCAATCTGTTTTATACAGTTAAACTAATCTGAAGAATCTCTGATCTAGATTGCAGATGGGCAGAGAGAGCTTATTGAGTCATACAGTGTCAAAAAGAGACACTTTATTGGAAATACAAGCATGGATGCTGGTTTATCATTTATCATGGCCAACCATGGAAAAGTGAAAGAGAACGATATTGTCTTTGATCCATTTGTTGGAACAGGTATTTTTACTTAACTGTTAAACTAGTGCGTAGATATTACTTGTTTATATTAGTCAAGCTCATAGTAATGTTTTGCTAAAACATTAGTAAATTTGTACAAAATAATCTTAACTATCATGAGATGCTGACTAAGAGATGACCACATATTTGTGTAATAGCCCAGTATGCAACATTTGAGCCATCTCAAGAATGATAGGATTTAATTTTGTGGGCTTTTTCCCCAAGTTAACCACTAGGTGGAGGGGCATACCACACATTGCAATACTGTGTACTGTGGAAATGTAAAGCTATAGTTTATCTAAATAGGGAAACTTGAGTGGAAAAAAAAAAAAAACTTGAGTGACAAGATAAAAAAAAAAGTGTTCATTATTTAACATTGATAGCTATATACTTACATGGAAAAAATGGGTACTGTGTCTGATCTTTGATTTGGTTTGTAGAGGTTTATAAGTAAGTATGAAAATAAGGAAAGTGACTTAATTATTAACGGGCTTGAGCCTGGCTGCTGAGACTGCAGTCTGTGTTCTGTCCTCGTAATTAACTTTGTGTAGAAGTCCTAAAATTCCACATTAACCTTCTCTGATTCCGTGAGGAAATTTTCCCACTTTGCCCTATTTTTTGCTGGCTCTTACTCATATGTAGGGAGCACTCATATTTAGATCTGTCTGGCTAAATTCATTGTGATTCAGATTGTCTTGGAACAAATTATGTTTGTGGTTGGAGTTTCTCCCTGTAGCTGTCTTTCCCCATCAGAAACTTGGGAAGGAGCTCTGCCACAATAGCTAACATTGTTGAACTAAAAAGAAAAAAAACTTCCTGAGGGGATTATGGCACGGAGAGAGGTTATGTGACTTGGCCAAGGTTATACAGTGTGTAAATTTCATGAGATTCAAACTCAAGCAGTCTAACTCCAGAGCTCATGCTCTTAACTACTACACTAGGGCTGTCTCTTTCGGCATTAAGATCTGTTCACCAGCTATTACACCATAACCCAACTTGAGGAATGTGACCACATGCGATAAGGAAGAAATAGTATCAAAGTCAAGAGATTTCTAACTGTTGGAATGAATTTCTGTGTTTGTTGTTGAATTAATCTGTTGGTGAGTTTCACTTCTCCATTCCACCGGTGTCTCCATATATCCCCCACCTAGCATTAGACCTATTTGTTTCTTTCCTATCTTCATTATCCTTAGTGCCTCCCCCGACTTTTAAACTCTTATTGGAAATAATGTCAAACTTATAGTAAAGATACAAGAATGAAAATAGAGAACAAACACTTGCACATACTTGATTCAGATTAAACTATTGTTAACATTTGGTCTCATTTGCTTTATCATTTCTTTTTTATGTTTATTTACATAATTTTGTTTTCTTTACAGTTTGAAATTGCATCCATCCAGTCCCTTTACCTCTCAAATACTTAAATATACATATCTTAAGAATGAGAATATTCTCTTACGTAACCATGGTATAGTTTTCAATGTTAGCAAATGTACTGCTGATGCAGTACTTTAATGTTCATATGACATTTTTGCTAATTGACCCACTGATGTTCTATATACTATATTTTTTCCTTTTCAGTCTATCATCAAGTATTGTATTTTGTCACTGATGTTTCTTTGATCCATTTGGTATGGAACAAGTCCATAGTCTTTCTTTTTCTTTTGTGAAATTTGCGCTTTTGAAGAACACTGTCCCTCCTCTCTTTGTTTTTTATTTAGAATATACCTCACTTGGGTCATTTATTTCTGCATGAGTTCTGCAAGTTTTACATTCCTGGCCAGACTACTACAACAGTGATTTTGTGTCCTTCTCAGGGCATCTGCATGATGGTTGTCTGCCCCTCATTGGTAATATTAATTTTGATCAGCTGGTTAAGGTGGAGGGTGATTTTTCCATTGTATGTTAAGACCCATGTAAGTATCCTTTTCTGCATCTAAATTCCTCCTCACCCCTGTCAAGTGGTCAGGTTTTGCATTCACTGATGATTCTTGCCTGAACCGGTTTTAACTTTGGTCACAAAGTTAACTTGTGGTCACAAAGGGATGATTTTTCCAATAATGGTACTCCCTCCACAATTACCACTCAACACTCATTCTATTATAACCAAGAGCCCTTTCTTCTTTCCTATGTATTTATTATTAATACAAGCTGTGGATTCCCCTTAGTGGTCTATAATTTGTTAACTTACTTTGTTGCTCAAATTATCCCACGTTTGCCAAGTGGAGCCCTTTTGTACTGTATCTGTCTTTGTGACCTGTACCCTGTCTTTTTTATTTTTGGGTACGTCTTACTTTCTGGCTCACCTTTTACCTGCCCAAACCCTGGAATCAGCCATTTCTCCAAGTAACTGTTGTTTCTTTTAGTGGGGAATGGTATAAGAGACCAAGATCTGGGTGCTAGGTATCTTCATTTCTCCACCCATTCAGCAGATAAGCTAGGACATTTAGGTGTGTATGTGTACAATATGCATATAAATATGTATGCAAATACACATATCCTTGTGTATGTACTGTGTGTGCATGTGGATAGACACATATATTGTAGAAATTGTGAATTTTCTTTCTTTCTTTTTTTTTTTAAGATTTTATTTTTTATTTATTTGACAGACAGCGATCACAAGTAGGCAGAGAGGCAGGCAGAGAGAGAGGAAGAAGCAGGCCCTTGGCGGAGCAGAGAGCCTGACGTGGGGCTCGATCCCAGGACCCTGGGATCATGACCTGAGCTGAAGGCAGAGGCTTTAACCCACTGAACCACCTAGGCGCCCCAAATTGTGAATTTTCTTATATACTACAAATTCTAGTCTATCCCAACAGATTTCTTTCTTGCCTATCCCCATTCCATTTTTACATGTGCCTTCCTCCACAGTGAGAATCCTGTTTTCTTTCACCATTTACACATTTTTTTTTGCTCATTGCTATAATGTATCTAAAATAGTTTCAAAATTGCTTTACCCTTACCGCTAAAAGAAAAGCAAAAAAAATACAAAAACCCTATTAAAAGGATATTTGTTTTTAGGCTATGTATTCTGTTCTTTACCACACCTAAAGGGCAGTAAAATCAAATATTGTGCTTTCTTCTTTTCCCCTTCATTTCAAAATCAGTTTGGAGTTCATTTTTTTTTTCAGTTTGCCCTCAGTTTTAGATTTTTTTACCTCCTTCCAACCTTGTTGATTTATTTTTAAATATGCAGAAAATCAGTTTACTTTCAGAAGTCAACTATGTAAGAGATATACTCAGACAAGTATCACTTCTTTCTGTATCTCTTCATTCTCCTCCTTCATCCCGTGTAGATAACCAACTTCTTTTCTTTTTTAGTTGATTCTTCTTCTTATTTTTTTTTTGTAATGATAGGCAGATATATGTACATTTTATTTCTACTTCTTTCTTACACCACATTGCTTTTCTCACTTAACAGTTTTTCCTGAAAATCACTTTCTGTTAGTTCATAGGAATTGTCTTCATTCTTTTTTATACTTGTACTCCATGGGTGTATGTACTGTAATTTATTCAAACAGTCTCCTATATATACTTGGACATGAGTAGTGTCCAGTATTTTAGAGTTACAAATAATGCCTGCAATGAATAATCTTTTGTATATATACTTGCATAATGTTGGAGATATTGCTCTAGGGTAAATTCTTAAAAGTAGAATTACTGGATGAAGAACGTATGTATATTTTAAACCTTGTTTCACCAGCAGAGTTTATTGTCAAGGTCTTAAAATGTTGCCAGTCTGTTGGATGAAAACATTATCTCAGTTAGTGTTATTTTGTATTTCTCTTATTATGAGTGAAGTCTAATAACCTTTTATATATATATTTAACATATAATGTATTATTTGTTTCAGGAGTACAGGTCTGTAATTCATGAGTCTTATATAATACCCAGTGCTTGTTACAATAATATCCTCCCCAGTGTCCATCACCCAGTTTCCCCATCCCTCCACCCACTACGCCTGCAGCAGCCCTCAGTTTGTTTCCTGTGATTAATAAGTCTCTTATGGTTGGTTTCCCTCACTGGTTTTGTCTTGTTTTATTTTTTTCTCTCCTCCCCTATGATTCTCTGCCTTGTTTCTTAAATTCTGCATATTGGTGAGATCATATGATAATTATCTTTCTCTAATTGACTTATTTCATTTAGCGTAATACCCTCTAGTTCCGTCCATGTTGTTGCAACCTTTTATGTTTTAAGGGCCATTTTGATAATTTCTTTGGAAATATTTTTCATGTCTTTTGCTCATTTTTATGTAGACATTTCTTTATTTTTGAAAGTACTTTGTATGTTAGGGAATTAGCCCTCCCTCTTTTTTCCTGTTTTTTTATATGTATGTAAAGATGTATACATATGGGTATTGCGTGCGTGCGTGTATGTGTGTATACACACAACCAAACATTTTCTCCCAGCTTGCCATTTATTTTTTGACTTTGCAAACAGTTGCCTTTTGCCATGCAAAAGTTTTTCCTATATCTATATTATAGAGGTATCTAGCTATGTTTCTTTTCGTAGTACATTTATAGTTTTAGTTTAATTTCTTTAGGTCTCTGATCTATTTGGAGTTTTTCTTATATGCTGTGAGGAATGGATCTATAAATTTCTTTTTTTTTCCAAATGCTAAACCTTTTATTAATCTTTAATTTGTTCTTGGACTTTAAAAACTTTCTGGGAAGTGAGAATTCTTTGACATACGTACATGTACATAATGCTTAATATGTATGCGTACATGTAGATAATACTGTAAAGCCTAAAAATAGAGCTCCTAGTATAGGTAAAATTTCTTTCTCTTGATGTCTATGAGGTTGGGTATATTATGAAATGCTAATATCTGCCACAGCAATCAAAATACTGATTACCTTCAATGTGAGTAAGCGGCAAGGAGACCTACCCCTAATTTGCTTTAGAGCAGCTCCTTAGAATGGGTAGTAGATCTTGGTCTGTCACTGTTTACATAGGACAATTAATTGAAAATTACAAAGAGGAAGATTTTTGCAAAGATGCTGCTACAATATATTTTTTAAATTTGTGTTCGTAATTTAAGCATAGCTTTAGAATCTAGTTTTTGGTGCTTTTGTTTTGAAATTGGTGATGTAATTGTGAATAGACACAATTCTTAAGTATAGTTTGTCCTCTTTCTTGGGCCTTTTGTCTCACTGATGGGTAGTACCTTCTGAAGGATTGGGGAAATACTAACCCTGTGCCCTCCTCCATGGCCATAGTCTTTCACAAATATTTTTGATAGTATTTTTTCCTTGTTTCCTTTTCTAATATTTAAAAAACAAAGTCAAGTGGATCCAATCCTTTTCCATTTTAAAGGCACGAAATTGAAATATATTCGTTTCCCAAATGTTTTATCCACTGACTTCTCATAACCTGTGATTTTTCTCAAGGTTATAGGATAGAGCAGAAAGCTTCTGGGAAACCAAAAGGAGAGATATAATCTTTTCCTGCCTAAATGCCTTTCCTTTTTCTTTAGACAGTGTGATGTTGTCTAGAATAACATTATAAGTTGTAGAAACATACTTTCCTTTCCATTTTAGTGAGTATGTTGCTTTTCATTTTAATAAGTTTTTTAAAAAAAGTTGCTTATCTCCATTTTTTTCCGAGGGAGAAGATCACTTCTCATTGGGCCAGCTCTTCGTAGCTAGGAAGTCCTTTTGCTCTAATATGAGCAAGGATTGATGAGCATGATATGTTGAATACCTATAATGGTACAGGCCCACCTGTGATATACGAGAGTTGTGAATGGTATACAACTCTTACTAATTGAGTATGCAGCTTTACTTAATTTAATAACAGACTTTACTTTTATCTAATTGGTATGCTAAGTGTATATTTGTTTTAATTGGTGCTGACCCCAAAGGAGAGAAAATGGTATAGAGAAAAGAGCAAATAGAGTGAGTTTTAAATCCTTAATCTATTAGTTATTATATCACTTAGGGCAATATTCTCAACTTGTCTGGGCCTCAGTTCCATCATTAATAAAATCGTAATATTAATATATTGTGAGGATTAAGTGAGGTAATACATGTATATGAAATTCTTAAGTTGCCTGACACATGATAGGCTTTCAGTCGGCTATAATGGTTATCATTATTATTTTTAAATTATTATTTTGTTAGGAACTTAGATGCCTTTCTGGTAAAAGATGTTAGATATAGCCAGTATTGAATGGTGATGATGAACATTTTGGCCATGAATTCATTTTCTAGTCCCTTCTTTGGCTGATTTCCAAGGTACTCATAATTTGCAACTGTTGGCAAATTGTGACAGCAGGCAAGGAAATTGAGGGTTAAAATTGTAAACATCTAATTCATTGGTTATAATGAAAATAACTGGTACAGGTAGACACACAGCCAGTTGCTATGATTTTATGACAGAGGTCCCTAGATATTTCTTTTCTCCTTCCCCTCTCTCAAGTGATTCAGCTATTTTACTAATGGAGAGTATACCCAGAAGACCATTGGGCACTCCTTGGCTGCTTCTACCTTCAGATGAGCCATAGTGTAAGGAGTGGAGTACAACTCCTTTTGAATTTTATCATTGCAGAATGATAGATGCATATGACAGGTGTTGGGAAACTGACAGCCCTGGTAAAAGGGAGTAAAAGGGACAATTAGGAGAGAGGTAATTGATCTCTGTAGGTCTGTGGATTAGTCTCTGTGTCATTCCCATTTTTGTCCACAACTCTTTATAATCTCCTTTTCCTGAGTTTCATAGTTTATCTGGTAAAATTTCTATTTTCTAGCAATATCCTTTTGCTCAGGCTGCTAGTGTAACTTACCTGAGTTCATTTTGAAAAAGGATAAAGTAGATACAGTAGTATTCCATTTTTCCTTCTTTTCTCCTTTCCTTTCAGCAAAACTAAAGCCCAGTCTCTCAATTCTGCACTTTTGTAAGGCTTTTCACTTAAATCTCTAATGATGAAAATTGTAAAATAGTTTCTGTATTATAAATAAATTTCACTTATTATGTCCTTTTGCCAATAAGATATTGCCCTAACCTTAAAGTGGTTACTATTTAAGTAAGGAGAAATTAGAAGACTGAGTTTGTGGTATTTGTATACTTGGTAGCATAAGAAATTGGGTGAGTCACATTACCTCCCCCTCATCACTTCACCCCTCCTTTATTACCCCTTCTTCCACCAGAAGGTTCAGGGAAACTCCAACTAAGGTATAACTAAATGTAAAAAGTGCTTCAATTTAATTGAGAAAACAACGAGATGATTAACAGCGATTACCCGGTGACCAATTCAGAGAAGCTAATTTATAATAACTTTATTTAAAACTTTGAAAGCTTAAAGAGCACAAAGTTAACTAACAGATTCAGTCTAACAGATTATTCATCTCCTTTCAGCAGTGTACTCTAAATTGGGTCTTCTCAAAACTCACTCTAACCAAATGGATAAGGTTCTGTTTAAGGAAGCACAGGAAAGCTTTTCTGTTCCCCTTGACAACTAGTTCTTCTAGGTGAGTATCTGCCTTAATTGGCAGAATTGTAGTAATTCCTCGTAATTTGGGTGAAGTGATTTTGTGAGTATTCCAGGTCATCACAATACAGTATCTTTCCTAAATATGGATGGTTCCATTTATAGAACAAGACTAATGAGGTCTTACTTAGCTTCCCTCTCACACAAATGCTTCTTGTATTTAGTATGAGGGAACTTAGGTTTTGGTTTCTGCTATACTTTTTTTAGTTCTCCATTCTCTTCTTCTTGGGCTCTTATAGTAGTAGTTACAGCATTTTTCACAAGCAAAGTCTATTTATTGAAGTGCATGTTCCCGGACTGTGTTTTAAATGGCTATGGAAGGAACACCATTACTTTACAGATCTTGACCCTCTGGAGGCACTACCCATCTTAATTTTAGAAATTACCTTTGAAAAGGATATAAGGGAAAATAGGTAATTATTTTCCCCTGTCTGAGTCTGTGCATAGTTTAGGAATATATTTCTGATGTCCATTTGACAGACCTTTCTACAGTGCGGTATAGCTATTAGGAATTTTTAATTTAGATGATGAAAAAAAGTAAAATTCAATGGAAAGCACAGTTATTAAAATAACTGATTTTCCCCCCTTAAACAATTTAAAAATATTACCTTTTATTTTAAAAGGTTTCATTAATAAAGAAAAATCTTTATTAGGATTTTTCTTTGTATGTGAGCTAGGCACAGCTACCAAGTTCTTTAGTCCAGTCAGATTGTATTGGAACTTTTGTTCTTACTTTGATCATAGCACTAAGTAAACAGAGAAGTCATTGTATTGTTATTTTTGTTGTTATTTTTGTGTATGCTTGATGATAATTATTCAGAAATTCATATTTACAGTTTAAAATGAGGTAATTGCTTCACTGGTTACAGAAATAACTGTTTATTGTACTAATATTTTAATTTTTATGGGGATTAACATCTTAAATATTAATTATGCCCCCTTAGGTTGTTTGAAACTCAGGCTTCCATGGGAATTGAGCCTAGTTGTCAGAATTTATTTATTGCTAACTCTTTTATATAGCAGTTTTATATTCTCATTTGTAAGTAAGGAGCAAGATGCTTTGTATAGACCTCTCAAAATCAGATGGAAATGTCTAAATGTACATTATTTTATTTATTTTTTAAACTTTTTTTTTTAAAGATTTTATTTATTTATTTGACAGACAGAGAGATCACAAGTAGGCAGAGAGGCAGGCAGAGAGAGAGAGGAGGAAGCAGGCTCCCTGCTGAGCAGACAGCCCCATGGGGGGCTCGATCCCAGGATGCTAAGATCATGACCTGATCCGAAGGCAGAGGCTTAACCCACTGAGCCACCCAAGCACCCCTAAACTATTTTTTAAAAGATTTTATTTATTTATTTGAGGGGGGGAGGGACAGACAGAGAAGCAGACTCCCTGCTGAGCAGGGAGCCCGATATGGGACTCGATCCCAGGACCCTGGGATCATGACCTGAGCCAAAGGCAGTCACTTAACCAACTGAGCCACCCAGGTGCCCCTAAATATACATTATTTTAATTAAAAAAAAAAATTTCCCTAAGCAGTATGTTCAAAGTAATGATGAGAGTACATACATTAATTCCCTACATGGTGACCAGTATAGTGAGCACAATTTAGCGTTTAATTCTGAGGCTTGTAAAATGTGGTCAGGACCAGTGTTATTCTCCGGTACTCTGCCTACAGCTATTTTTTAAGACTCTGGATCAGACTAAATAGGGGAAGAAATAAGAGTCTGGGACTTTCTGGTTAACAGACTATAACTGTGTGATTTTTCAGGTGGCCTTCTGATAGCATCTGCTCATTTTGGTGCTTATGTATATGGGACAGACATAGACTACAATACAGTTCATGGCTTAGGTGAGTAGAGGTTCTGGACTGTTACAGGCTTTGTTCTTGTATCAGATGTGCTTTCAAAGTAATTAAATGGGTTTATATGGCATTATGCATCTATCTCTTGTGTTAAGATACAGAGTTGTGGTATAATGTAGTTTTACTTATTCTTAGAAATGACAAGGTTTTGTTGGATATCTGCTTTTTATGAAGTGATTCAGTATGTGCAAAGCAATCTTGTGGGGGATAACAAAGATGAAAAAGAAAAAGCTCTCCGCACTGTCTTAGTAAGAGATTTTTAAAAAGTTGGCAAACTCTAAGGTTGTGAACTTTAGGCTTGGGAAGGAGGTAGGAGAGAGACTAGCCATCTTCTAATTAGCATGTCCATGTTAATAACACATACAGTTTCTATTTAAAGATTATCACCATTTTTTATTCATAATCATACTCTTGCATGAGTACTGGATTAATTGCTAGTCCTTAAGTACTGAATTGGTTTTAATTCCATAACCAACCAAAATATCTTTGAAGCGGTTAAAATTACAGTAACTTAGAAGATTCTGCATTGGACTCAGGTTAACTCAAGACAAACATTTGCTTGCTTTTGAGGCAATTTTGGAAACTATTTTAAAATCTAGACGCTTTGCTAATGATACATGGTTGGTTGGAACTGAATTATACTGAAGAAAGTATTCTCATATACCTGAATGGTACTAAAAATGTCAAGTTTCATTGATGATTTTGAAATTCTGTTTATGGTGGTATTCCATTATTGTAACTAGAATCAGCCCTTTGAACATCCTTTTTCTTTTTACTGCCCAGTTTTTCTCAAGTAACTGTATCGGTGAGAATTTATTATACTCTTTTTTTTTTTTTTTTTTTGAAACAATTTGACATATTGTGCTTGATGACCCTCTTTTTTCCTACCTTGACTCTAAGGAATTTAGTAATATTTATCATAAGGAGAATTGGTTATATTTTATCAAGTTCACCTAAATGGGCTTACCAGAAAAGATATTCTTGGTGATATGTTAGGGCAAAGTGCTAAGAAGAATTATTCCAGTTTGCTTTTAGTAGAAGTCATATGTTTGCTTTAAGGAGATTGTCCTATATAATTTATTAGAATTCTTATTTATAAAAGTTACATTATAACCTTTCAGTCTACTTGAGCAGAATTCTCATTGAGGTGGAATTTTCTCAGAGCTTACCCAAGATGTTCTTAAATATGCACTGTGTTTCCTATGCTTGTAATTTCTTTCTGTACTCTCAAATATTCTCAAAATTTCCTATTTTAAAAATATAAAACCTTTCCTATCAGTCCTGTTGGGGCCCTTTAATTGCCACTTTTTTTTCCTCTTCCTTTTGCCAAAGTGCATCTCGAAAACTAGTATTTACTTGCTGTCTCCTCTTCATCTCTCACTGTCTTCTGTCCATTATTTTCTAGCTTTCACGCCTACTGAAAACTCTCACTAGTGCTACAGATCTTAGCATTTGGCAGTGTTGACTTTCATAAAGCCTCCCTTGGTTTTCTGGATCCCACGTGGCCTCATTGGGTGGTACTTCTACTTCTTTGGTTATTCCACCTCTGTCTTCTTAAGGCCCTGTGGATTTCTTTGACCTCTGCTAACATGTTGCTTTCTCTGGGCTTCTCTCTTTGACCACTTTTCCTCTCACAACGCATACTATGCAGAGTCATGCCATTCTTCTCCTTTTGATTTTTTAAGTTTTATTTTTATTGTAAAGTAGATCAAGATACAGAAGAGTGCATAAAAATAGAATAATTATAGAACAAACACATAACTGCCACCTAGGTTAATAAAAAATGTCATTCATTCTTACGGTTTTATGTTAAGTGCATATACTGATAATCTCCTCAGTGTATTTATTCTGGCTTCCAACTACCCACTGAATAGTTCTTTCTGAATGTTTTGTGGGTAGCTGACAAGCATGATCAGTACATCTCAAATCTCATTTTTTCCCCTAAGCTTGTTTTTCCTCTTTCTTTGATTTTTTTTTTTTTTTTTTTTCGAGAGGAAGCAGGTGGGACAAGGGGAGAGGGAGAGGGAGAATCTTAAGCAGGCTCCATGCCAAGCATGGAGACCAGTGGTGGGCTCAGTTTCATGTCCCTGAGATCATGACCTGAGCTGAAATCAAGAGTTGGATGCTAGAGGCACCTGGCTGACTCAGTTGGTTACATGGCTGCCTTTGGCTCAGGTCATGATCCCAGAGTCCTGGGATCAAGCCCCGCATCAGGCTCCCAGCTCAATGGGGAACCTGCTTCTCCGCCTGATTCTGCTTGCTGCTCTGTCTGCTTGTGTTCTCTCTGTATCTCTCTGTCAAATAAAATCTTAAAAAAAAAAAAAAAAAGAGTTGGATGCTTAACCAACTGAACCACCCAGCCACCCTGGTTTCTCCGATCTTAATCAATCCACGGTATGATCATCCATTGTGTCTCCTAATACTAGAACTTTTGAATTTCTTCCTTCAACCTCCACTTTAACTTTTCATCTGTAATGTCTCTGCAAGGGCTCCATGGTCATAGCATTCCTTCATTTCCCAAGTTAGCTCTCTTCATTTCTGTTTCATTTATAAGGGACCATGCTCTATAGAGCTTTGTATCTTAACTTGTATATGCTTTCAATTCAGTAAGTATTTAATGAGTGTTTAAGGCAGTTTTACTTGAAAGGTGATAGAAAAAGATCAGTTAGACAGTACATTTTACTGGTCAAAATACATTTTTGTAGTAAGTTGAAATAAAAATAACTTTATGTAAATAAAGTTAAGATTTTAAGTGAAAGCAAGTTTTATTTGAATAAACGTAGGTTTAGATGAGTTAAACATTATTTTAGCTGAACGATAAGAAAGAGGAATGCTCTATTTGATTTAGTAGTTTCTGTATTCCTTTTTCTTTCCCTTTAGGAAAGGCTAGTAGGAAAAACCAAAAGTGGAGAGGACCAGATGAAAACATTAGGGCAAATCTTCGTCAGTATGGTTTAGAGAAGTATTACCTCGATGTCCTGGTTTCAGATGCGTCTAAACCTTCCTGGAGGAAGGGCACATATTTTGATGCAATCATCACTGATCGTAAGTTTATTTTTATACAAAAGTAGGAGTAGGATTAGTTTCCTAAAGTCATTTACATTTGAAGTAGAAAATGTATCAACACACAGAAAAATATCAGCTTGTACTAGTATTCTCCCCCTGCTGCCCCCTGACTTCTTCACATAGTGAGAAGGAAAAAACTGAATATAAGGCAGTATACCAATTTAACTAAGTAGTTAAGAGTTTACTGTTTTGGTTTTTTAAATTATATGTATTGACTTGTCTTTCCTTTTTTCTCTTCAGTTTATTTTTTGGAACATATATTTATTTTAAATTTTTACTGTAATTGATTATTAGTATAACAACTGGAGCCAAAATGTCATTTGCAATTAGAGTGTTAGGTGTCAAAGAAGAGAGTTTTATTTTTTGATTTTTTTTTTTTTTTAAAGATTTGTTTATTTGAGAGAGAGAGAGATCATATGCCCCACCCCCCCTCCTCTTGAGTTGGGGGAGGGGCAGAGGGAGAGAATCTTCAGGCAGATTACTCACTGAACCTGGAGCCCAGTGTGGGGCTCAGTCCCACAACCATGAGATCATGACCTGAGCCGAAACCAGGAGTCAGATGCCCCAAAGAAAAGAGTTCTTTTTACCCCCAAAGAAAAGAGTTTTAGATAACACGTAATTCTCCATGTGTAAGCTTTGGTGTTTTGTTTTGTTTTGTTTTTGTAGCACATGTTTTGACTGACTTCTCTTTTCTAGAATTACAAAAAATTTGGAATTTTGTGAGCCAATAGGCTTGTGAACCCATTGAGCTTCAGGAATGTGAATAAGAACTTGTTTTCCTGTGCCTCATGAGTTCTGGGCTTTGCAGACATACTATCTAAGAATAGGCTGGCCTTTTCTACCATATTTTGCAATAAATAAATCTGTAAATAGTAGCAAGGGTATCTCTACCCTTTTGTCTCAGCTCCCTTCAATTCTTTGGTAACTTAGGTGCTCCTAGATCTAACAAGAGAAAAATTACCAAGGCATTACACTGTTAGTATGAATCGGCTTTATAAAAATTGGGTGACTTTTTACTTAGAATCTAACTTATTGTTTGTTCTCATTCTGTTTGTGTATTTATATAAAGTATGTAACTTTTTTTAATCCGTTGAAAGTGAGTTGGCTACACTGTAGGCTTTTACCTCTAATACTTCAGTGTGTATTTCCCAAGAGTAGGGATAGTCTCTTAGGTAGCCAGAGTATAGTTATCAGTTTCAATAAGTCAGTGCAATTATTGAATTTTATTTTGTCACCTACTTTTGTTGTCACCCAGTAATATCCCTTTATTTATTTCTTTGCTTTTCTGTCTGGGACAGTATCCAACCTGGTATCAGGTATTGCATTTGGCAATATCTCTTTTAGGCCTCTTTTAGTTGTCACACTGTCATAGCCTTTCTCTTTTTTTAAGACATTGACATTTTTTAAGAAGGCAGTGGCCTGCTGTCCCTCCCAGTGTTTTAAATAGAACGTTCTTGTGTTATGTGTTCTTGCTTGGAATATTTCATAGGTGGTGATGTGTTCCTCTCTGAGTGTCCCATCTGGAGGCCCATGATATCCATCTATGCCTAACTGGTGATGAGGTGACTTTTGACTATCCATATTATTTGTGTTTTCTGTCTAGCTCCATATGGTATCAGAGAATCTACGAGAAAAACAGGTTCTCAGAAGGAAATACCAAAGGGGATGGAAAAATGGTAAGTAAAAGTTAAATATAATACGATACTATTTTGAGAAGAAGCATGTTACTCTTTTTAATTAGCTAAGTTTAACAGTCTTAAGGTTTTTCATTGATTTTGAAATTCTGTTTTCTTTTTCTAGTCCAGAAAGCCATGTTCCTGTTTCCTTGAGTTATCATCTGAGTGATATGTTTTTTGACCTGTTAAACTTCGCAGCTGAGACCCTCGTATTAGGTGGAAGACTAGTCTATTGGTTACCAGTGTATACACCAGAGTATGTAATGCTGAATAATTTTATTTTTAATTTCATTTTTGTTATGGTATTTGTATAACATTTTTCCCATATTTTTAATTGGATTTAGAGTAAATATCTTTGTGTTTAATGTTTATAATCATCTTTGTTTACCTACATATGTGTATAAAACAGTCCCCTTCCTCTTATTGATTGAATTGCTTTGACCTTTTCATTTTACATCAGGAGTTGGCAAACTATAGCCTGTGGGCCAGATATGGTCCTCACCTGTTTTTATAAGGTATTTGAATTAAGATGAGTTGAACTAAGATGGGTTTTTACATTTTTAAAGAGTAGTTAAAAAAGAAAAAAAGCAAAGAACATGTGACAGAAATATATGTGGCCCACTAAGGCTAAAATATTTACTGTCTGGTCCTTTAGAGGGAAAGTTTGCCAAACCTAGTTGTGTGCCATCATTAGTTCAGGGTCTGATATATCATAGCTGCTGATAACTGTTTTGTTAGGCCACAAACATAGGTAATTTTTAACAACTTATTTGAGGGATTCATCTGCCACAAGCTAGCTTTAATATATATTGGCTATTATGATTGCCTTAAATGCAGTAAATCCTTTTTAAAAGCTAACACTGAAATAAAAACTGTGCTTATATTTAAAGCTTTGATTATGTTCCACATGATTGGTTTGGGTTTTATTATTCAGTAATTATTAACTATAAACAGAGCTGTGTACATCAACAATGGAGCAAATGATGTCTTGAATAAGACAGAATCTTTAAATTTGAAAGATAATTTAATATCAAGCTCAAAATATAGCTGTTTCTCTAATCTGCCATAGTAATCTTTTTTTTTTTTTTTAAGATTTTATTTATTTATTTGACAGACAGAGATCACAAGTAGGCAGAGCAGCAGGCAGAGAGAGCGGGGGAAGCAGGCTCCCTGCCGAGCAGAGAGCCCGATGTGGGGCTCGATCTCAGGACCCCGAGACCATGCCATAGTAATCTTTTGAAAAAATTATTTTAGTTCTTATGTTTACTATACGTAATTTTACAGAAAGCATTTTAGAACAGTGTTAACTTGTCTGTCTTTTCAGTATGGCAGATGGTCCTTCAGCAGTTGGAAGCTGTGCTGTTTTTTGTTTTAAAAATGTTGTATTGGAAGTTACTGTGGACTGACTTTAGTCACATTTTTATTTATCAGCTGATAAGACTGTACACTGTACACGTTCATGTCCAGACTCCTTAATGATGGCCTTATGTTTTGCTGCCAGTGATAATCTCATGTAATATTTTCACTTTAGAAATAAGGAAAATTAATTCCAAGGAGTGAAGTGACTAGTCTATAGTTAGTAGCTAGCTAAGCTATTTGGTTTCCTTATTCCTGTGGCTATGTTTGCTTAATTCAACAGTCTACCAGATCTCATGTACCTGATATGGGAAGCAATAGATGGAGTTTTACTAGTATTTTTGGATAAAATCACTTTTGTTTGTTTCTATACAGAATGGTTCCTGCCTTAGACAAGCTGAATTCTAGCAGCAGTTTTTTAAAAGATTTATTTATCTGGGAGAGAAAGCCTGCATGTGTACTCGCGCATGCAGAGTCAGGGAGGGGTGAGGGGAGGGAGGGAGAGAATCCCAAGCAGACTCCCCACTGAGCTTGGAGCATGATGCAGGGCTGGACCCCATGACCCCAGGATCACAGAGCTAAACCAAGAGTCGGACACTCAACTAACTGAGCCACCCATTGGCCCCCCACTTTTTTTTTTTATAGATTTATTTATTTATTATCAAGAGAAAAGCTTCCTGTTTTAATTTAAGTTTCAGGACTAAATTTTTAAAAACTTTATTTTGAGATAATCTCAGACTTACATAAAAGTTTCAAATGTAACACAAAAAACTCTCCTCATCCAGATTTTTCCAACTATTAATGTACACCTATTGTATCTTCTTTCCTCACCCATTACATTAGTCACATAATCATTATCATTCTTCTTTTTTGGAATGATTTACGAAGTTGCAGATAATGATGTCCTCTAACCCCTACATAATTCACTGTATTTCTCAGAAATAAGAACATTCTTGTGAAACCACAGTCAGCCCTCCAAGTTTGGAAATCAGCATTGATAACACTGGTCCATTTTATGGACCCTATTCAAAATTTACCAGTTGCAGTCCATCTGAGAAAATGGGCTCTGTTAAGCCATCAAATCATTCTCCTCCAGTCTAGAATATGTCCCCATTCTTTCTTATCTTTTGTGTCCTTGACAGTTTTGTAGAGTATATAGCTTATATTAAAGGTTGGCCCTCAACGAGGGTCCAACTGGTGGTGTTTTGTTTTGTTTTTTTTTTAGAGAGAAAGAGGTGGCAGGGTGGGGCAGAGGGAGAATTGATGTTTCTTTTCTGACCAGATTCAGGTAGTGCCCTTGGTAGGAACACCACAAAAATTATACTGTGTTTTGTGTGTTGCATTGGGGGGCATATGGAGTTAATCCCTACTAGAGCTCTTTGATTTGATCATCTGATTATTTTGTTCTCTCAGGGTTCTCCACTGTGAGCCATCATTTTCTCCTCTGATTAGTATTTCATGGGGGGAGATATCCCAAGATTATATCAATATCTTGTTCTTCATCAAATCCCTCTTCACAATGACAACTCCATTGTTGACAACCACTACAATGATGACTTTTCTGTTCCATCATTCCTTCTGCATTTATAAGTTGGCATCCAACTGTAAGGAAGAGTTTTCCCTTCGTCCCCCATTTGTTTACAAATTTATTAATTTATTTTGCTATGGAATCATGGGTGCTTATGTTACTCATTGGGTTATAATTCATTACTGTCCCTATTTTGTTGCTCAGATTGTCTCAGATTTGATCAGTGGGAGTCACTTTGAGGTGGTTCCTCTGTCATTTTGAAATGTCCCCATTAGTTTTTGTATACTTCTTATTTTTTGGCATTTCTGACTGTCCACTATTTTGTACTTTATTATTCAGTTATAATTGGAGTTGAATGTACTTTAGAATATCTTTTGTAGTTCTTTTGTCTTTTCCTTTCTCTTTATACAAAATTAAATTGGAGGTACTTTTAAGTATTTTTAATATTTCTAAAGATCTTACAAAATGGACACTGGATTTTTTTCAGTAACTTCTTGATTTTAATAATTTGCAACAAGGGAAAATTTCCACATGCATATTATCAGAGGAATATTTTAGGAGTAGAAAAGGGATACATATTTTTATCACTTTTTTTTTACCTTAGCTGTTTATCAAGGGAAAGATTTCGTTCAGGTATGTGGCTGATGCACACATGGGAAGACTATGTTCTTTACTTCCCTAACTTCATCCCTGAAGAAAGTTATGTCCACATCCTTTGATGTTCATTACTAGACTTCTGTTTATCCTTCTTCCTTTTTTAAAAATAACTTTATTTCCATTTATTTTATGCAGAATATACTCCTAGTAATAAGTTTGTTTCTCCAGTTTCCTCTGGGATGTCTTTATCTTCTGTACAACCTCCTCTTCTGGTTTAGAAACAGTCTGCTTTTTTTCAGTAAGATCATCTTACTGAGGCAGGAGAGCTCACATACAGGTTAATCCAAGCATGAGCCCTGTAAGTTGTATGTCGTCACATCTTGGGGGCTTTGTTCACCAGGATGTGCTTAATAACCAGAAAGTCTACATCCAAACCCATAAATTCGGCATTATTGTCTGCATTTGTAAGCATGTGCAATAAAAATTCAGCACTCTTTTGGGCCACCAGCTGTTTGACCTGGGCACACTTAACCACCTCTGCCATTGCAGCGACAGAATGGCACAATGGCTTCTGCAGTGTGACATCCTTCAGATAGTTGGTGGCTTTTCAGATCTGCATACCCCTGATGGCCTGGATAGTTTTATGTGTGTTCTTAAAGTGAACATGAAGATTTGAACCTCTTGATTTGCATGATTTTGGGGGTTTTCTGGGTCAAGTGAGTAGCAAACCATTTTCAGAGGTCACCTCAGGCTGATTATGGGAAGATCATCTCCTTCCCTTTAACCTAAGGTGATCTTACTAATGAATTATTATTACTACTGTTAACTTATTAATGAGCTTAGTTTGTCTTGTGTTTGTCAGGAAATGAATTATTTTTACTTCTGTATTGTATGCCATACAAAATCTTTGTTCTTTTAAAATAGCACAATATTATTAGGAATTTAAGACCAAAATCATCTGCAGAAGTTTGGAATAATTTTCTTGCTTCCGAATTAAACAATTTAGAATTAGTTTGATTATATTGTATTAAAAATATGGCTTTTTATTGAACTAAGAATAAAGATTTCATTTTAAAATTATATATTAGCACAGTTATAATTTTAAAACTTTTTTTACTTTTGGTGTAGTGAATATAGGCTTTTAGTCCTAATACTGAATTCATGTATTCAACCAAATTCTGTTACGTAATTCAAGTTTAAAAATAAGAATTACAGGGGCGGGGCGCCTGGGTGGCTCAGTGGGTTAAAGCCTCTGCCTTTCGGCTCGGGTCATGATCCCAGGGTCCTGGGATCGAGCCCCACGTCGGGCTCTCTGCTCAGCAGGAAGTCTGCTTCCTCCTCTCTCTCTGCCTGCCTCTCTGCCTACTTGTGATTTCTGTCAAATAAATAAATAAAATTAAAAAAAAAAAAAGAATTACAGGGGCTCGGGGCGCCTGGGTGGCTCAGTGGGTTAGGCCTCTGCCTTCGGCCCAGGTCATGATCTCAGGGTCCTGGGATCGAGCCCCATATCAGGCTCTCTGCTCAGCGGGGAGCCTGCTTCCTCTTCTCTCTGCCTGCCTCTCTGCCTACTTGTGATCTCTCTCTTTCTGTGTCAAATAAATAAAAAAAATCTTTAAAAAAAAAAAAAAAAGAATTACAGGGGCTCCTGGGTGGCTCAGTTAAGTGTTTGCCTTTGGCTCAGGTCATTATCCCAGAGTCCCTGAATTGAGCCCTGCATTGGGCTCCCTGCTCAACAGGGAGCTTCTGTTTTTCCCTCTCCCTCTGCCCCGCCCAACCCCCAACTGTGTTCTTGTGCCCTTGCTCTCTCCCCTTCCCTCCCTCCCTCCCTCTCTCTCAAATAAATAAAATCTTAAAAATAAATAAGAATCACATATTACAATCAAGTTCAGGTATTATTCTTTAAACCCAGGGCATTTTGAAAAGTATAAGACGTAATACAAGTAAAGTACTACCTAAAAGCTTAAGTTATTTGTGAAGAATCATTGGAGCTGATCATTGAAAAAGGATTTTCTTTTTGGCAATTTTAAATTGTAGTGAAGAAATTGCTACTCAACAAACTTGCTGTATTTCCTCAAATATAGATTTTCTCCACTTTAGTGTAGTAGATTTTTTTACCAGCATCAAGATAATCTATACACTTTGTATCTTTTCACCTTTATTTATTCTGTCCCTATCTTTGATAAATCATTTCTTCTTTTCTCAGCTGATAAAATTCTGGTCATCTTTCAAGGCTTGGCTTAATTGTCGCCACCTCTGTGATACTTTTCCAACCCTCCTCAGCAGAATTAATCTTTAATCTGTGCTCTCATAGTTGTTTATTCTTATCACTCCTAGAGACTGACCACATAAAATTGCTGTAAACTGCTGGTATTTATGGGTTTGTTATCCACAGTTTCAGCTACTTGCAAGTCACCCTGAAGATCTGTGTGCTATTCGTTTGGGTAGCATAAATTCAACTCCTTTGTGTTTGATGTTACAGGAATTGCTAAACTACTTCATGCACTTGTCTGCTCAGGCTTTAAGTATCCATATAGTGTTCTTTTCTGATTGGCATTAGAGACAGATTACTCTCTTGAGGTGATTAGAAACTTCATTTCTTTGTGAAAGATGTTTTGTAATAGAAATCCCATTGCTACTGCTTGTGTTAAAAACATTGACAAAGTAAAGAAGCTTAATAAAGTATGCCCCAGCGCAGGATATGGGGGGGGGAGTGTATTTTTTTTCCCCAATTTTATTGAGAAATAATTGACATACCTCACTGTATAAGTTTAAGGAGTATATGCTGTGATGGTTTGATTTACATAGGGGATAAACTTTAGTAAAATGAATTTTGGAGTGGCTCAGAGCAGTGAAGGGAACATGGTTTTTTGGTGTTGTTATGTTCAGTTAGCCACCATATAGTACATCATTAGTTTTTGATGTAGTGTTCAGTGATTCGTTAGTTGCATATAATACCCGGTGCTCATTTTTTCTTTTAGCTAGGAAACAAGAAAAAGTAATCCCTTGACCTGTTTTCAGTGAGTGCTCTAATCAGTGCAAAATCTTTTCTCAAATGGGAGGTGAAATTCTAGTGTCATTTGGAAATAGCTTGAGGCATGAAGATTCATAGGAAAATGAGTATCAAAATTGATTCATGGAAAAGCTAGAGGCCTATGCGCATAGTTAGTTTTGCTTTTTAAAAAATAATGTAATATAATTTGTATATCATGAACGTCATTTTTTTAAGTTTAAAACTCCATGGTTTTTAGTATATCCACAGAGTTGTGCAACCATTACCACTTTCTAATTCTGGAACATTGTTGTCACCCCTAAAGAAACCCCATATACATAAGCAGTCACCACCACTTCTGCCCCTGGCAGCCACTTATCTATCTCTGTGGACTTTCCTGTTGTGCCTGATTTAGGTTTTAAATAGATGTTTGGATTGTAGGGCTATAGTAATAAAACCAAAGTGAAGATAGCATACTGTACTGTCATAATGACCCAGGCGTAGAACAGATTTATGGCTTCTATTTAACAGTTTGTAAACAATTCATTGCAGTATGCTGGTATGAAATATATTAGGACATATATTGTTAACTGATACTTTTAAATTCTTAGCATGGTGTTTTGGGAGTATGGTATACTGCTAAATTGATTGGTTCTAGTATAATAGGGTAATGGTTAAAAACTAGCTTGTTAATGGTAACGATGACCCAAATGATGTTCTTTCATGCTTAACCTCAAAGATCAAGCTGAAAAGGTAATTAAAATACAGAAATGTTTTTCTGCTCTTAAGTCAAATGCCTGGTGACTCAGTTTCAGCAGCTTAGCATCATTTGGGTCATCAGTATCAAGTAAAGTTGCATTGGGTTTGTACTTTTAGATTTGATTTGTAAATTTGTTTTGGTTTTATAGTTATATAAGCATATGGACTTTATATCTCACTTATATATCTTTACGTTACCTTTTAGTACAAATCTTTAAGTCCACTCTGTCAGGAAATAAGAATTTTTTCCCTTTAAAAAAAGGGTACATAACTAAGTTTAAACAATACTATTTCAGAAATCTACAAACCATGCTTTTTCTAGCTTAAAGTCAAGGCTATATCTTCTTTCTGTTAACCATGGTGTAGAATGTATTCCTTCATATCATAAATGCTTCGTGTAAAGATTCCAGATTTGATGTCAGTTAATATTATGAGAAATACAACTTTTCTGACTGTATAGTGAATATTAGAGAATTGTTAGATCAGGCGAAAACTGAAATGGTCATTACGTACTGGAAAGCCCTAAGAAAGGATGCAGAGGATGACTTCAAGAGAATTCTTTCCACTGATAAAACAGTGAAGTGCATTATGAATGTTGCTTGGTAAGTGGGTGTTGAAGGTTTTGAGCATGTGGTTGAGGTAATGAGGGAGACCTCATTGAAGGTCAGAGGGGCTAGAGAATTCAGTAGAAGAGTGGTAGTGAAGACCACGTTGATGTATTGGAATAGGCTAGCTGAAATGGTAGTAGTCCTTTACAGGAGTGCTGTTTGGCACCTTTCCCAGTTTGGACCAGAGTTTTAAAATTTCCCGTGTGATAAATGTTTGTGGAGGCAATCTAGAAAGGTATCAACATTTGCAAAGGAGAAATAAAAAAGGGCAATCTGTAGTGTTCTTCACCTATACCTGGTGAGCCCCCTCCGCTGCTGTTCTTCAGCATTCTTGCTCCATAGCTATTTCCCCCTCATCTGTCACCTGTGTCTTTTGGCAAGATTGATGCCAACAACCTAGCAGATGTCAGGTGCTAAGCTACTGCAGCCTGACTGTCCTGCTTTCCAGGTGTCCTCTCCATTCACGTAGTATGTGTGCTGGATAGCAGCAGTCACCACTGCTCATGATTGTGGCTTTGATTTTATTTCGTGATTAAGGTGACCATGGAGTATTTGTTTTATTGGTAGTTTATTTGAATAATCTTATAAATAACTTTAGTCATTTACAAAGTAATAGAGGTCTTAAGATGCCATTGAAATTTTGCAGGGACACTTCATATTATGGGGAAAGTATATGCTGAGTGGACATTATTCTTTGGGAATTTATAAAAATTTCCACATGAATCAGTCCCTCATGAATGTCAAGGGGTTGTTGTAGAATATATTTCTGTCTAATGTGCTCTTGTGAGATGCTTTAGGGTGGAGTCATTGTCTTGTATTTTTGTGGTTTAAATACTTGGTATTCTTTCATAAAACATACTTGCATTCTCTCTTAGTCTACAGGTAAAAGAATTTAAACTCCCTTTTTTTAGATGTGGTAATATTCAAATACTTTGCTTTTTAAAAATACAGATTGTTTATGGATTATCTGGACAGTTAGCCTGTGTGAAATAAAATGGAACAGCATGTAGTGGGGGGATGTCCATACCACATTGGACAATTCTGTGATGATCCTGTGTGGTATGTGCATGTGAGCCTAAAGGTCAGCTGTTCTTTCTTCAGATACACTGAAGAGATGGTACCCTGGCACCCTTGCCTGAGGCTTATTAGCAACTGTGAGCAGAAGCTTTCCAGCCACACATCAAGGCGCTTGATAACAATGGAAAAGGTGAAGAAATTTGAGGTAAATTATCCTAGTATTTTTTGGCTAAATTCTGGAGAATCCATTTTTTTTTTTAGTTTTCTTGTAATGGAGTTTGAAATTGTTAGTCCTTGATCTTTAAAAAGTTACCAAATTCAGGAAGGGGTAGAAGTTCAAGAGGTTTGCGGTATTTGGTGGAATTTAGAGGGTAGGAGTTGGTTATAAAAGTTGAATAGCAGTGGGGCGCCTGGGTGGCTCAGTGGGTTGGGCCTCTGCATTTGGCTCAGGTTATGATCTCGGGGTCCTGAGATCGAGCCCCGCGTCAGGCTCTCTGCTCAGCAGGGAGCCTGCTTTCTCCTCTCTCTCTGCCTGCCTCTCTGCCTACTTGTGATCTCTGACTGTCAAATAAATAAATAAAATCTTAAAAAAAAAAAAAAAAGTTGAATAGCAGAATGGAAATAGAAGTTGACCTTAAATTAACTTCTTATCTTTGCCACTAATGCAGTTTAAAACAAACAAATAAACAAACAACACAATTAAACAACTCTTGTCTAATTAGCAATCTACTAGTTACCCATTTTTCTCCAAAAGCAAGACCTACTTGATTATGGACTATTCTGAAGAGAAAATGTCACTTTATATAATGGAAAAAGTAATTTGCTGTTAACTGTTAGGGCCCAACACATGTTCTCGCCCCACTTTCTCTGATACACACACACAAACACACACACATTATTCTTCGGAAGAACAAAACATTTGTTATTTCATATCCAGATCAGAATTTATACGAATAATGCCTCATAATGGAGCTTAATTAAATCTACAGAATGCTCCTTGGGCTGTACTTGTCTGGATTGACAACACAGCTTTCCCAAAGTAAACTTCAGTGAGCTCCATCTTTGTTTTTGATCTCTAGGGTAAGCAGAAGTTTTGTCAGATTCATCTCCACATTTGATGTTTTTCATCTAATTCACAGCTCATGGATTGTTTCACAGTAATGAAGCCTAATATTTATTTAGTACTTTTTTAATATATTATTGTGTATTTCTTGTTTTTGTCCTTTTAATTTCATTTGCTACCTGTCTCTAACTTAGATCTTATCACCATATACCTGGTTTGTGCTAACATCTCCTAAATTCTCTCTTCCATTTTTCACACCTCTAGTTCTTAATTAAGTGACTCTTCCTAAAACACTGTATTCATTATGTTACTTCTTTATGTGAAAAGTTTAGTGACTCCTTCTCATTACCGAATGAGATTCAATGTAATATAAATGTTCTTCAGTAATCCAGCTCCAATATCAGGGCATTTCCGAAAGTTTAACCTATTTATTATGTATATAAATAGTTGGTTCATGATCAATTAGGGGTGGTTGTGTAGGTGTTTATGTATTTATATACAGGTATATGTGATATAATTAACATAAGTGTCATTTTTAAAACAAGTTTATATTCAAATGATAGATATGCTTGGGCTGGCATCTTGTACTCATATCATAATTATTCTGTATATCCTTGAAATTTTAGATTTAAATTTAAAGAAATATATTAATATTGAACAGTTATTTTGCTGAATAGTAACACCTTGCTTTTCTTCAAATTGTGTTACTGGACTTTGGTGCTCACATTTTATAGCAGACATGTCATTTAATTGTTGTTTTTTGGAAATAAGAACCTATCCTGAGGATGATGAACTACTTAAATGTTTAAAACATTAAGAAGATCCAGAAATTCTAAAAGGGGGGTTCCCAAGTTGTTTGACACAATGACAGCCTTCTGCAGTGACAATTTTGAATGGACAACATTTATTTGTATATACAATAGAAGTCCTGTTAACTAATCTGCATTTCAAACTCAGTTGACTTACTAGTACTGACCATTTTTCTTCTAAAACACCAATACTAATGCCTATAACATGTTAGATACTTCCAGCTGGTGACTTGCTTGATCTCTACTATATCTGTACACTCTACCAACTGAATTGTCTGTTTGCCATGGATCAGTTGTGTTTGTTTTGTGAACTGTTATATTTGTTATGGTAATTAGGTAGTCTAACTAAATGCTAGTTAGACCAGGGAAATGTGAGTGTGAGAATAAAGTTGTCATTTCTAGAAAAGCTAAGTGGACTACTTCAGAAAGATAGGATCAAGTGAGTTGCAAAGAAAGACTCTTGGGCTGGGAATGGATGAGATGACAATAAAAGGTTGAAAAAAAGTTAGCCCAATCTAGGTTTCTCTACCCAGATTACTTTGTAAGAGTCTTTATGTTCTTGCATCACTTTACAGAAGCCAAAACCGAAAATCTTTGTAGGTCCTGATTCTATATCACAAGATTGATAAATGAGTATACAATTTTTTAAGTTAAGATGTTCATTATATTTACAAAATGTTTTTATTTTTTCCTGCTTTTACTGAGTTTTTCAGTTAACTAACTGTAGTATTAGTCTGTTTGGGCTGCTATTGCAGAATACCACAGGCTGAATGGCTTAAATAACAAGTTTATTTTCACAGTTGTGGAGACCGGAAGTCCAAGGTCAAGGTGCTAGCAAGTTTGGTTTCTCATGATACCTATCTTGCTGAATTGCCGACAGCCACTTCCTTGCTATGTCCTCTGTCAGTCCTGTTGGATTAGAGCCCCACCCTTATGATTTCATTTAACTTTAACCATCTCCTTTAAGGCTCAGTCTCCAAATACAGTCATGTTGGGGGTTAAGGCTTCAGTATATGAATTTGGGGGGGGGACACAATTAAGTCCATACCAGTAACAATTACCAACGTCTGTCTCAGTGAATAAGAGGCCTCTATTGCATGTTAAAGTATGCTTTTTTTCATGCTCTTCCAGTTAGTTACTTCTCATGTATATGTTTGTTTTTTAATATTTTGAGGGAAGTAAGGCATTTGATAATTTAAATTAGTAACACTGCAGCTCTTAGAAATCACAGCACTTAATGTAATCATTTGAGTTAGTAATAACATTTATGTGCTGGGCATATGAGTAATACATGTAAAAAATAGAAATAGTACCTATAGATTTTATAGTTCTAAATACTGATATTAGAAAGTAAAATGAATGACATCAGCATTCTTTATTTTGTGGTCTTTATAAATAGTACCAGCACCAGCATATGATGTTTATGATGGCTTTGAAACACTGTTCAGAAGAAAATATAGAGAAAAGACTCTAATAATTGATGGGGCCACATAATGAACCAGTCATTTCTTAGTGGCAAAGTAGAGACCTGTTGTCATTTCTCCTTTTCTTTCCTTTAAGTTAATTTATGTAGGAAAATCTTTTTTTTTCTAGTACTCTTTCCAGATTTATAATATTTCTATAGGCAGTCTATTTGATACTTGGAAGAAGAAATAAAGAATGATCTAAGGATGTTTCTGACAACTTTTCTTCTACATAAAAATGCTAACTAAGGGCACTCACCTTAGTTTTTTTTTTTTTTTCTGTAATGAAAATCGGATTTTTTAAAAAATTAACATATAACGTATTATTAGCGCCAGGGGCACAGGTCTGTGAATCATCAGGCTTACACACGTCACAGCACTCACCATAGCACATACCCTCCCCAATGTCCAAAACCCCAAAACCCTCTCCCTAACCCCCTCTCCCTGGCAACCCTCTGTTTTGTGAGATTAAGAGTCTCTAATGGTTTGTCTCCCTCTCAATCCGGTCTTGTTTCTTTTTTTCCTTCCCTACACCCCAAACCCCCCACTTTGCCTCTCAAATTCCTCATATCAGGGAGATTATATGATAATTATCTTTCTTATTGACTTATTTCGCTCAGTATAATACTGTCTCGTTCCATCCATGTCGTTGGAAATGGCAAGATTTCATTTCTTTTGATGGCTGCATAGTATTCCATTAATATATATACCACATCTTCTTTATCCATTCATCTGTTGATGGACATCTAGGTTCTTTCCATAGTTTGGCTATTGGGGACATTGTTACTATAAACATTTGGGTGCCCGTGCCCCTTCAGATCACTACCTTTGTATCTTTAGGATAAATACCTAATAGTGTGATTGCTGTCATAGGGTAGCTCTATTTTCAACTTTTTGAGGAACCTCCATGCTGTTTTCTAGAGTGGCTGCACCAGCTTGCATTCCCACCAACAGTGTAGGAGGGTTTCCCTTTATCCGCATCCTCACCAGCATCTGTCATTTCCTGACTTGTTAATTTTAGTTTGATATGAGGTGGTATCTCACTGTGGTTTTGATTGGTATTTACCTGATGCCGAGTGATGTGGAGCACTTTTTCATGTGTCTGTTGGCCATCTGGATGTCTTCTTTGCAGAAATGTCTGTTCATGTCCTCTGCCCATTTCTTGATTGGATTATTTGTTCTTTGGGTGTTGAGTTTGATAAATTCTTTATAGGTTTTGGATACTAGCCCTTTATCTGATATGTCATTTGCAAATATCTTCTCCCATTCTGTCAGTTGTCTTTGGTTTTGTTGACTGTTTCCTTTGCTGTGCAAAAGCTTTTGATCTTGATGAAGTCCCAATCGTTCATTCTTGCCCTTGTTTCCCTTGCCTTTGGCGATGTTCCTGGGAAGAAGTTGCTGCGGCCAAGGTCGAAGAGGTTGCTGCCTGTGTTCTCCTCAAGGATTTTGATGGATTCCTTTCTCATATTGAGGTCCTTCATCCATTTTGAGTCTATTTTCGTGTGTGGTGTAAGGAAATGATCCAGTTTCATTCTTCTGCATGTGGCTGTCCAACTTTCCCAGCACCATTTGTTGAAGAGACTATCTTTTTTCCATTGGACATTCTTTCCTGCTTTGTCGAAGATTAGTTGACCATAGAGTTGAGGGTCTATTTCTGGGCTTTCTGTTCTGTTCCATTGGTCTATGTGTCTGTTTTTGTGCCAGTACCATGCTGTCTTGATGATGACAGCTTTGTAATAGAGCTCAAAGTCTGGAATTGTGATGCCACCAACTTTGGCTTTCTTTTTCAACATTCCTCTGGCTATTTGAGGTCTTTTCTGGTTCCATATAAATTTTAGGATTATTTGTTCCATTTCTTTGAGAAAAGTTG